GCTATATTATCATTATCATTTTATTATTATTTGCAAACATCAGTTCTATAGCAATAATTTCACTGTAAAGTTCTCACATAGACAGATTACTTCATTAAATTTCGATAGTTCAACTATCAGTCCCGGCAGAATATTTATGTTCCTAACTTATCCGTGATTTTTTGTACATAGGCTCTAAAATTAGTTGAAGTTGTATTTTGTATAATCGAATGATGGCATGTATATTTTTAAGCTATATTATCATTATCATTTTATTATTATTTGCAAACATCAGTTCTATAGCAATAATTTCACTGTAAAGTTCTCACATAGACAGATTACTTCATTAAATTTCGATAGTTCAACTATCAGTCCCGGCAGAATATTTATGTTCCTAACTTATCCGTGATTTTTTTGCATGTCACAATACTTGCATTATAAGTTTTGTATTTATATTATCACTGAAATTGTTTTATCATTTAAAGACATTAATCATGTGTAAGTTCACAAGCAAGATTCCATCTATATTTCTATCAAAATGCAAGCAAGCATTATTAGAGCACTTCAAGTATCAGAATATCACTGTATCGCTTTCCAATATTCATTGTTAGGATTTATCATGTACCTACTAACTGTAATGACTATATTTGTCAAATCTGATCTTGTACATACAATAGTATACATAAGCGAACTAACTGCACTATAAAAGGATATGTTGTTGAACATCATTCTATACAGACATTACCGTATGAATCCATGACAAAACTATAATAAATAACTATAATCGATGACGTACGAAAATTTTGTCCACATCAATGGTCGTTGAATTCTTGGAAATTTATAAGCACAAATATATACAACGACCAAAGCATGTTTATAATCAAATTCTTGGAGAATTGTCCATACTATGGTCTTTTATTATAAAATCATCAAATAGTGTTTATCATAGTATTAAAAAATTTATAGGGAACTAATACTTGACTTCGTTCTCATCCCTTTGGTGTATAGAGTCCTAGTATATCCCCTAGAAAAGTGAATGCATGTTGATCACGGACTCTTTGTGTTAACTACATCATTGCCTTCAACGTGTATAGTGGCCACCACTGGTATGTGAGGGCCTACGCAAAAGTAGTATGGTCGAATTACTTATCCAAAATGTCAAATAATAACATAACATATCCTACCAACATCTAGTTGTTCTCTCGACTACCTAAAATCAATATTAAGTAATCTTTTTTAGGAACTTACCTTCAGGTTGGACCATAGCATTAGAAGTGGGAAGCGTACTTTCTTCCATGGCATCATCCAACATTATTAGATCATCTGCATTTAAGTCGTGAAAAGACATTCAACATTAGTTTTCAACTCAACATGCTTATAATATATAATCAAAATTGAAATTATTTTAACTTCTCCAATATAAAACTTATCATTCGCCTCCATCACGTCACAACCCAGAGAAACTTCTTCTTTGTCCAGGCATGACACTTAGGTCTCTACACCTCATTCATCTAGTTGAGAACAATATTGGACATATTGATGAATATGTCATTGATTTCTAGTTTGTATACTAGGGAATAAGATGAGAGTATTTAAAATTTTGAATTCCTCATAATTAACATATATCATTTACCTCCTTGTTCCCATTAGGAAATGGACTTCCGTGGTCATTCGAGGCACACACCTTCCTGCTCTATGCCCCCTCTAATTTTCGGAACGAGGAATTCAATATTCATATGTAAGAACAAAGCAAAAAAGTCATATCATAATAATTAGTACATGTTACGCGACACACACGTATAAGAAAGCAAAATCACACATGTGTAATGTTCGGACCAAAGTTGGATATATGGATAGATGACTACAAAATTGATCTATCGAAAAGTTGTCATATGTTGAGAAATACTACCTTTAACTATTGAGAACGGCAGTTTATCTATCAAGATCCCCTGTGTAATCTTAATCCACATCCTCAATGACTCCATCTATATTTCTATCAAAATGCAAGCAAGCATTATTAGAGCACTTCAAGTATCAGAATATCACT